TAGGGTATTAGTTTAGTTTTCGATAATTTCGGTAATTGATCATTAATCATTATATATTTATCATTAATCTTTAAGTCAGAGATCAGGGAAAGGTCAAATCCACCCTTTTTCGTTATAAAGGTGGGTACGTTACCTGTGTTATCCACCAACAGATTTGATGAAAAGATAAAATCAAAAATGAACTCACTTCGCTCTTTTGTATCAGTGCTACCCCTGCAGAGCAGAACCTTAGGGTCCTCCTGGACCTTCTAAGCTCGCTGTATTGTTGTCTTAGGTAGTAGGAAAATAGTACGTTTTTTCCTAATAGGATGCAGGCTCTAGTTTTACCTGCAAAGTCAGCAATGCACAGTTGATAGTTTTATGTGCCCAGTCCAGATACCCTGTTACGTGAGATCCAAGGTTCATGAATCAGGAACATATATGCGTCACCTTTTGCAAGATTAAGCAGGAGTGAAGCCGAGGCTGCCTTCGAGTGGTGAAGGCTGATCTGCAGGATTTTGAAAGACATCTAGCGCGATCTTTCGAACCACTGTGTGGTCTGCTTCTAGGTCCGATTCAGAAGTGGAGTCAGAGTCGACCCTAACGCCTGGCATATTTCTTGCCGGGTCGCTCTCCTCCGAGACATACCCGTCAAGGGTATCCAGGGCTACCCCTGTCTTTACGAGCCGACTTCTGGCGTCTTCTTTGTAAAAGCGCACCACAATGTCCTCCAGTCCGTAGCGCTCAGCTGCCTTCGTGGAGTTGCTGGATTCCTCGCTTTTCAAGAGGATAAACCATCTTTTTGCGCGAGCCTAACATTTCGGGGTAGTTCTTTAGTTTAGTTGGCAGGACTGTTAATGACATCTGGATCAAATTTCATATCAATTTTATTATCAGTATTATATTTACGCTTGTGTTTACCAAACAAATAAGAGTGAATTTTTCGATTTTCACACAGTCAATGATTTAATTGCGGAATTTTGCGGAATAAAATTTTTTCTGAGTTAACGTTGAGGATGCTGCGAAAGGCCTTTGGTGATTCTACCATGTCGGAGAAAAATTTTTATTAGTTGTACAAAGACTTCAAGGAGTGTCGAGAACATGTTAATGACTTGGAGCGCTCCGGACGACCATCGTCAATGAAGTGAAGGAATTAGTGTTTAAAAATTGTCAGTTAACTGTTAGAGACCTTACTTACAGCACGAAAAGAGCGCGTCAAATTCCTTTAAATACAAAGTTCATGCCAGTTTTTTTTCGATTTTCGTGGTGTACTATGAACTCCTTCCATAGGGCCAAACTGTTAGTAAGGAATATAATTTAAGCGTTTTGCGTCGTTTGCGTGAAGCAATTCGACTTAAAAGACCAGAACTGTGAGCCAACAACTCTTGGTTTTTGCATCACGGTAATGCAGCGTCTTACACTTCACTCGTTCTTCGTGACCATTCCGTATTCGCCTGATTTGGCTCTGTGTGAGAGACCACTCCGGGGAACGCATTTCGAGTCGATTGAAGAGATATAAGCTGGATAGAAGAAGGCGTTGATTCTATGGCGAAATGAGACTATTTGGCATGTTTCGAGGATTGCAAAAACGTTGGCATAAGTGTATTTCATCATAAGGAATTGCTCGGAAGGAGATGAAATTGATTTAGAAGAATAAACAAACATTTTTCTTTTTACATAAAATATCACTACTTTTAGGCCTAAGTAGCATGTTTTCGGTATGCATCCGAATTAAAGAAAAGTCTACTTAAAAATCGGATACAAATTGACTAATATGCAAAATCCGAGGTCTAATACTTAGGTACTCATTAATTTATCTTTAATATATAAAAGTCAATGACAACCAAATCCACTTGTTAAATGTCACATGTTTAAAACTTTTTGCTTACCTTAAGAAACCTTTAGTCGTAACTATTTTTCTTTTGTTTTCCCTCTTTTAATATACAGTGCTAACTCAAAATATATCACCCATTGTACATATCCCCCACCACCACCATCCCTATTGTAAATATTGCTATACGTAAATTGTAAAATAATAATTTGTCAATGATATTACAAGAACATTTATTTCCTCTTAGCAACAGCATTCCACGCGATTCACCCATTTTCGTCATTCTTTTTATAATCTCCTACAATTCCCTAACAAAAATAATCGCCCGCCCGAGGCAAATCAAATTCACTTCTTACCCCGACGACTTTTACCTAGTCCAACACATTAGACGTAAAAACCCCATAGTTGATCTCAATTCTGTCTTTCAAGAAATTAAACATTGGTGCTCCTACTCAGTAGTCTCTTTACCAGTTGATAAGTGCCAAAGCCTACACATCTGTCGCAAACACAATTGCTAATCTAAATTTCGAACCGGCTTCGTAACCATCCCAGAATCCAACAACACAAATATCCTAAGCCTCACTCTAAGCAATAGATATAACTGGACAACCCACATAAATAAATTAAAAACTAAACAATGCAAGCCCCTAAACATAATCAAAAACCTCTCCTCTCCCAAAACACACCAACCCCTTCTGCTTTATCCAAATTATAAAACAAATCCTCATCTCAAAAATTGATTACTGTCTGCGTATATACGGGAACGCCTTGCCCTCTCAGCACTAGGTGCTTTAAGAAAAACGCCAACCAACCACTTATTAATATAAGCCAATATAAGCTAATTTCACCGAATAAAAATCTTAACAGGACAACTCTCAAAAAAACGCATGCACTCAATTTAATACCCCCTTAAAACCCTAACTAAAACCTATACAAAGAAATTCAAATATCCCAGTACAACAGACCGAACAATTGACATTTGAAAGGAACTTCACCCTCCCTTCACAGAAATTAAAAATTATAATTAAAGCCACCAACACAGCACTAGCCAACTATTACAGAACATGCATACCTCCCATAATCTATAAACAATTTTTCCAATTGAAAATGTAATACTATTTTGTATTAAGGAAAACGCGAAAACTTGTGATTGCAGGGAAATCCGGAATTTATTCGATAACGAAAGGGAGTGTGCGCAATGATTCTCATATAACAACTGAACTTTAATTTCATTTTACATTTCCCTTAAGCCTATCTTAACTAGAGGCAAGAGACGGGGCGAATTCGAGAGAGCAGAAAGCTTTGTTGCGATCCCGCTCCCGCCTTACACTCTTCAACACCAATCCCTAAAAAACACCCTCCCCGACCATCATTTTCTCTACACTGACGGCTCCATGGCCAACGGTATAATTATTTATAGCGTAATCAATGAAACCAATGCTATCAAATCTGGATACCTCCCCCACTATTCATCAGTTCTCTCCAGTGAACTAATAGCCATTTAAGAAGCCGCAAAAATCGTGCTAAAAGCGCCAGGCAAACATGCTATCTGCTTCGATTATCTCTCTGCCCTAAAGTTCCTCATTAACTCCAAGAACCACTCCTATTATCTCTTAATCCTAAGAAACCTTGTCAAAAACCAGCTCCCAAAAATCAAACTAATTTGTATCCCCCCAGCCACATCGGCATAGTAGGAAACGAGAATGCTGATAAAACAGCGAAAGAGGCCCATAAATACACCCTCACCTACACCCAAAACAACAATGCCAACGATATCTCACACTTCCTAAAAATCCACATTAAATCCAAACAAACTGACATGCAGAACAAAGTTTCTACTTGGTACAAACAAATACTTCAATCTTCCCCGCAAACCATCTGTCAAATATCTCCAAACCAAACTAGAAAAACTCAAATACTCATACACCGACTCCGATTAGGACACACCAAAATCACAAGCTCTCACTACATCGATAGTTCCCTCCCCAATACATGCCCATTCGGCAATGGACCTAAATCACATAATAATCAGCTGTTCCTCACTATCCCAACACAGAAATAATTCGTTTAACTTTGAAAACCCCGTAATCACCACCAATAACATTAACATAAACAAAATCATCTACTTTCTTCGAAAAACGTATTTATACCGTATAATTTAAGTATGTTGTCTTTAAGTTAAAATAAATAACGTTTGAACCCGTAAGAGTCGAAAGCCTTAGTTGCTAGCGCTCTAATTATAAGTTAGCTCACAGTTTTACACTGTAAGTTAGCTTTTTAAAAATAAATAATAATATTTTATCTTTTATTATTTTACTGTGTATAAATTTAATAATATATTATTTTAATTCTTGTTTAATTAAAAACAAAGAGTTTTCTTATAAAAAATTTAAGTTGTCAGTGTTTTTAAAATTATACACTTGTTAGAAATACAAATATATGTTAACTCTCCTTAAAATCTTTTGATAAGAACGTAAAACCTTCGCGCAATTTAAAAAAATACACAAGCCACTTACTGACTCTTGTGGAACGACTCGATGGTCGATCCCTTTTCTACCCCGAAAGGGCCAGTGGCCACCTCGAGAACTACAGGGGTATCATATGCCGCTTAAATTATTCGTTAAATATATTAGTTTACTGTGCGCCATACTAAACTTAAAAGTATACATTTTTAAAAATGAGAACATCAACATGAAATAAAAACATCTTGACCTGGTAAAAATCTAACGATGGTCCCACCTGTAAAATAAAATATCATATCATATCCCAATTACGACAAGCATTCTTTTATAATACCAGAACGAGTTTTTACAAACTGTAAATAAATATTAAAATACTTTTTTATTCTTATAAACTTGCACAGAAAGCTAAAGCGGGTCTAGTATCGGATTTGTGTTGGCACGCCCACTTTAACGGCCCCAAATGGAATTACAGTTTAATTGAAATCCAGTTATATTAGTAATGCTTATTATACCAATAACATTAAAGGTTCTCAGAAATTCAAGCACAAAGTGGTTAGGGAACTGCACTTATCGCCATCTAAATACATATTTAATTTGAAATTGAAAACAGGGTAGAGGTTATCTGATAACCGAAGCACTCTTGTTAATTTTTGTGAAACTATAACACATTAAACAAATTAAGGCAGTAAAAACAACATTTAATATTTATCTGTGAATTTTCTTTTTAGAAATGCTTGCGGTGCTTTGCGAAATTTGTCTTATGGCAGACAAAATGATGAAAACAAACGTGGAATAAAAAACGCTGGAGGAATAGATGCCTTGGTTCACCTGCTTTGTCGGTCTCAAGAAACAGAAGTAAAAGAGTTGGTGACAGGAGTTTTGTGGAATATGTCTTCCTGTGAAGATTTAAAACGTTCAATTATTGATGAATCACTTGTTTCTGTAGTGTGCAGCGTTATTAAGCCTCATTCCGGCTGGGATGCTGTTTGTTGTGGAGATACATGTTTTTCTACTGTATTTCGAAATGCTTCTGGAGTATTACGAAATGTAAGTTCTGCTGGAGAACATGCACGAGGATGTCTTCGTAATTGCGAGCACTTAGTTGAGTGTCTTCTTTATGTAGTACGAACAGCGATTGAGAAAAATAATATTGGAAATAAAACAGTTGAAAATTGCGTCTGTATACTTCGCAATCTTTCATACCGATGTCAAGAAGTTGAAGATCCCAATTACGACAAGCATCCTTTTATAACACCAGAAAGAGTTATATCATCTCCATCAAAAGGTAAAGAAATATTATAATAATACTTGTTACTCGTAGAGTAAAATGGCAAAAAAAGCTTTATATAACAATATTGACAAATAGGGGCGTAGCAGCCAGTCCTCATTCACACACACACACACACACCTCACATTTAAAAAAAGGTTGGTTTATTATACTGCGCTTAAAATAGCAATATCAGATTTTGAAATTGAGGTACGCAGTTTTTACTAAATAGGAGTCGATGTCCTTTACTTTGTACGTTTAAAACAAAAATAAAATTTAAAAACATTTTGGGATTAACGGTTAAGTAAATGAATTATGTAAAATCGAGTTATAGTTAGTCCTTCGGGTACAATTACGTTCGCTGGTTTCGGTCCAATTCGCTTGCAGTTTTGACACATCAAGTTTTAAACAACGAGGGAGAGGTCTATTGGGTTTTCGTTAATCAAAATTGTTTCAAGTGTTTGTTTAAACCCGAGATATTCCCAAATGTTTTGGCCAACCTTTGTAATTGCGGTTCAAAAATGGGTAGAAACAACATTTTGTACATTTTTGTGATCTATTTTATTTATATTTTCTAGAACACATTGAAAAGCAACGGGTATAAGAAGTAATTATTTATAACCCGTTATTCGCAGAGAAAAAGAGTATATTGTATACAGGCAAAGCCAATAGCTTTAATGCAAGAAAAAAAATGTTAACTGAAGTTTCGTCAATACCTATCGATTTATCCTTTTAAGGACAATTGACCAAACCAAGAAAGTTATAGTGCAGTTATTCTAGCATTAAAAGTGGTTAAAGAAAGCGTTTCCGATTTAATAAAGTGTAGGGGAGTGTAGGGTAAGGTGACGAACTGGTTAAATCTCACATGTTAAGTAACGTCGAAAATTTCAAATAATTGTAGTCGATTTATTTTATCGTGCCGACTATATTACAACAATATTAAGAATTCGCGTAATTTGTTCGTGAGATAATTTTGACTAAAAAGGCAGAGCAAAAATTAAACAAGGGAGAACGCTATAGTCGAGTACCTCGACTATCAGATACCCGTTACTCAGCTAAAGGAACCAAATGGAAATGGAGATATGCAAGCAGTAAAGCGAGATTGAAATGAGCCACCTACCCGCGATCTCAATATATGGTTATGTGGGCGGTAGACAGATTTAGGCGTTATGGCCGTTAGAGTCAATCGATAGGTATTTACGAGACTAATACATTTCAATTAACATTTTTTCTAGCATGAAAATTGTGGGCGCCACAGGCTTAGGCGGTTTGTGGGCGTTATAGTGGGCGTGGCAAACTTTTTTTTGGATCAATCGATAGGTATTAACAAGACAAATACAGGGTGGCCCATCTAGCGTTTCCTTTTTGAACTATCGATAATTTTGACTTTGACATTTCGAATGTCATTGTCAATGTGTCAGATATTTAGTAGAAGGTTTGCGGTTTACGAAATGCTTAAGTTTACGCTCGAAGAAAATTGGGAAATATTGAAAACTTTCTTCCAAAGTGGAGAGTCTTCAACCAAAACTGCAAGAAAATTGCGGTCTAAATTCGGAAAAAATAAAGCGCCTTCCAGGCAGTTTGTGGATAGTTTTGTGAAGCGCGTGCGTGAGACTGGATCGTTGATGGATAAAACAACACGTTTACGCGCTCGTCCAGTTCGGTCGGTCGAAAATATCCCTGCGGTGAGCACCGTGCTCAAAAGTGGGACATTTCGCGCACTTCCCTGCAACGGATTTTAACCAAAGACCTCCGTCTAAGGCCATATAAGATTCAGTTGGTTCAGCAGCCTAAGCCGCATGACTATCCATTGCGTTTTCGGTTCGCGGAACGGGCTCAAGAGCGCTTGGTCGAAGATGATCATTTTTACCGAAAAATCGTGTTTTCTGATGAGGCCCATTTCCACCTCTGTGGTTTGTTAATAAGCAAAACTGTCGCATTTGGGGTTAAGAAAATCCACAAGTCGACTTGGAGAAGCCAATGCATCCACAACGAGTGACTGTTTGGTGCGGTATGTGGTCGGGAGGCATCATTGCGCCGTTTTTCTTTGAAAACGAGGAAGGGCCGCCGTAACCGTTAATGGAGTCCGCTATCGCGGCATGTTGGAAGACTTTCTTTCCCCGAATGGAAGAGGAAGACATAGACGACATATGGTTCCAGCAAGTCGGCGCTAAGTGCCACACAGCCAACGTCAAAATGGCGATGTCAACTGGCCGCCTCGCAGCCGCGATTTGACCCCGTTGGACTATTTTTTGTGGAGGGCCGTAAAGGATAAGTGTTACGCCAACCACCCAGAGACGATTGACGACCTAAAGCACGAGATTGAAGTCGCCATCAGGGCCATTGAGGGCCATACCATCGAAAATGTGTTTAAAAATTGGATCGACCGAATGGGCTACTGTAAAGCCAGCCGAGGCAGCCATATGAACGAAAAAGTTGTTAAAAATATACGCTCGTTGTTTTTTATTGCGATTTTAAAACGCAAATCTTTCGTGGGCCACCCTTTACATTTCAGGTAAAATTTTGTACCTATCATACAAATTGTGGGCACCACAGATTTAGGCGGTTTGTGGGCGTTAACGTGGGCGTGGCATCTTCGCGTAACAAACTTGCACTGCGTACGGAATCTAAATTTTAAATCCCAATTCTCTATCTTCTATAGTTTCTGAGATATTCGCGTTCATATTTACGATTTTTTGAAGTCTGTGGGCGGTTTGTGGGCGTTAAAGTGTGCTTTGGGTTAATCGAAAGGTATTGATGAGGACAATACATTTCAGTTAACATTTTTATTCTAGCATCAAAGGTGTAGGAGCCACAGTTTTGGGCGACTTGTGGGCGTGGCACATTGCTGAAACAAACTTGCGCTGCGTAAGAAGCTCAGGAATCTGCATGCCGAGATCTCAGCGTTCATCAGGACGGACGGACAGACGGACAGAAGGACAGATGAACATGGCTAGATCGACTCGTCTGATCAAGAATATATATACTTTATGGGGTCGAAAACGCTTCCTTTTGCCTGTTACATACTTTCCGACGAATCTAGTATACCCTTTACGGATTGTCATTGACGGGTATAAAACCTATTCAATTTAGATTTTCATGAAAATTTAATACGAAAGGGAAGGGTCCTGTAGTTGAGGACGGCCTCCACGCTGCTGAGGAGAGTTCCGAGCTCCTCCGCGGTCAGGATGTCTTCGCCGACCGTCCGAAGGAACAGGTGCTTCGCAGACTTCACACCTGCCTCCCAAAGTCCGCCGAAATGAGGTGCTCTGGGCGGTATGAACGAAAACTCGCATCCTTTTTTTAATGCGAATGTTTCGATACCGCCGCCCTGCTCTTCAATCGGGACTGGAAGTCTTTCATGTGGCAATCTGCTCCGACGAAGTTCGTCGCGTTTTCGCCGGAATCCCGCGTCGATTCACGAACTTTTGAAATGTTAAAAAAAATGCATCAGGGGTGAGGTCAGACACTAACTCTAAGTGGACCGCTTTGGACGCAAAACTTACAAACAACGCCACGTATGACTTTTACGATGGCTTACCACGAATACGATACGTTGTTTAATCTGACTTTTTCTCCTGAACAAAGGAATCAAAATTTTTCCGCATTTTGACTATGTCGTCACTCGTGAGATCACTTCCACTAGTTTCTCGAACACAAAATTCAGTTTTCTTGGAGTAATACTTTTTTAAAGGGCTGCGACACTCTTTTGCACCTTTGAATAAATCGAAAGACTCGCACGAAAACTTTTAGAAGCCTTATATGCGACGAAAAGGACTCTATTTTCTGAAGCACATAATTGGGCCCTGGGGTTATCACATCCGCTAATGGTGATTTCCGTTATTCGATCGACACGACACGACGAAGTGTCGATTTACGACCATTCTATTTCTGCATCGAGCAAAAACGACGGCCCAGCGAACCAAATGGAAGCTGTAAGTTCCTCAACGTCACATCCCCGTGACACGATATCCGCTGGGTTTACTTTCGTAGGGACATGTCGCCAAATTGCTTTTTTCGATTACTCTTGAATCTCTGCAACTCGGTTTAAAACAAAAACCGACAATGACGACGGATGCGTTTTGATCCAATGCAGAGTGATCTCCGAGTCCGTCCATAGGAATACTTTTGCAATTGGAAAACTAAGCAATGGCCTTTCACTTTTGTAAAGATCCGCTAGAAGGTGAGCTGCGCACAACTCAAACCTTCAGCGGTATTAGTGCGAACGTACGCTAGATGCTCGAATGGAAGCGTCAGCGAAACCATGTATTTCTGCCGGGACTTTGGCGTCAGTATAAACGAGTCGCGATGGCTTGATTTTCGGCAGCTGCAACAGCGTTCCCTTGAAAGCTTCTCAACACGTCTGCAGTTGCATCGACAGAGACTCGTCCCAGTCTTACTTTCAGATCCACACTTCCTGCAACAACATCTTTGCTCTTGTCACTAGTGGACACAATAGGCCAAGCGGATCGAAAAGTCGGGCCGTCACCGACAGTATGTTTCGTTTTGTCGCACGAAGATCCAGGAAAGAGTCATCCAACCGAAATTGAAAGTAATCTTTACCAGGCAACCAAACCACGCTAAGGGTTTTAGTTACGTCTGAGTCTGCCGTTAGCGGCATGACAGCTCTTTCAGATGCGGACAACTCTAGGCTGTTAGAAAACCACTTTGGCAATTCAAATCCTGCCTCTTTCAATAACTGAGAAACTTCGTCTCGAAGGCTTAACAGGTCCTCAACGCATCTGGCGCCAGTCAACATTAAAGTTATTCTGAATGACCTTGGCGACTTTTAGGTACGAGTCTTTGCTTTAAAGTTTTAAAAAATATTGATTTTTGAAAAAATTACATTCGAAAAACCAAAACAAATTGTTACTATACCCTACACTCCCCTAAATATTCTTGATCAGGATCTTTAGCCGAATCGATCTAGCCATGTCCGTCTGTCCGTGAAACGCTGAGATCTCGGAAACTATTAAAGCTAAAATTTGGGATTTCAGATTTAGATTCCTTGGGATCGT